GGCCCCCGGGGCCCCCGGGGCCCCCGGGGCCCTAGTTCTGGGCGCTTCGAGGCTCAAGGAGGCGCTGGTAGGCCTGCTTGATGGTCTGGAGGTTGCGGTGGAAGTCGTGGATGTCGTTGCTGGGGAGCTGCTGCACGTTGGGGGCCCCAAAGGCCTCGCGGGCCTCGTCCAAAAGGACTTGGAAAATTTCGGCCTGCAAGTTTTGCTGGATCTTCGCGGGCGGGTACAGCCGCGCCTGCAGGCGGTCGTAGAGCACTTCCGTGTCGGCCCGCAGCACAAACACCAGCCCGAACCAGCTCCGCCGCATGCAGCAGCAGCTGTGGAAGTCCACCACGAGGCCCCCGGGGCCCCCCGGGGCCCCGGGGGCCCCGGGGGCCCCGGGGGCCTCGGGGGCCTCGGGGGCGGGGGGGGCGAGCAGCTCGCTGAGGCGCTGCTCCAGGAGCTCCTCGTCGAAGACGCTGCAGTCGAGCTCTTCGTCCCACGCGGTGTACAGACACTCCTTCTTTATCAGCTCGCCCACGTTCAGGTGCTGCAGGCCCAGCTCCTGCGCCAGCTGCGCACTCAGGCTGCTTTTTCCGACCCCGGGGGTGCCGGTCACCAGGATGTTGGGCCGCCGCGCCATTCCGCGCCCAAGTCGCCGCTCTTTCCCTTCCAAGTCCCTATTTCCGTCTTAATTCTCTCTTTCGCCTCTTTTTGCTCCGATTCCGGGAAAAAAACGGACAAAAACACCCCCAAACGCCCCCGCACCCCCACGCCGCCGCCAACGCGCTGCCGCCGCAGCAAGCAGGAGCAGAGCGCCCTCCCGACTTCCCTCTTCCGGAAATGCAAGTGTTTTCCGATTCGCTTTCTCGAATTCAAATTCTTCCTGAAAACGGCGCGGCCAGACGCGCCCGAAGACCCCGCGCAGCTGCTGCATGCATGCACACCTGAACGAGGCGCCACTCGGAAAACCGCGCCGCCCGGAACTTTCCAATTAACTCCAAACTCCCTACTGCTCGAATTTCACTAACTCACAGAGACTCTCAAAGAAAATGCAGCTTTCTTGCAATACAAGCCGCAGCCGAGGCCGCACTGCTAGCCCGCGAGTTCACGTGGACTGTACGTACATCTCGAAACACTGTGAAACCCTTGCGGCTCGCTGGAATTTTCGGATAGCGAAAAAAATTAAAAATTTGAAACTAAGTGGGGCTGTGGAGCTGAAATGTTGAAATTGGTGGCGTTTTGTTTCATATTTCCCGTAGTTTCCGCTGAAAATGGAGTGGAAACTCGTTTACTTGAAGCGCAGAAACCCCCGAACTTGGAAAACTTGAACGCGGAAGAAAGCGAAGCAGCTGCAGCTTTGTGGGCTTCTTTCGCGGATCTTAAAAGAGTTCACGAGGTTTGCATTTAATTTGTTTTTGCATTTTCAGTCTTTTCCACTTTTTCGCGTTTTTCGCAAGAAATTCAAAGAAGCTTTCGACTTGTCGCAGACCATGTTCGACGAAGTCATCGGAAGTGAAGACAGAAACAGCCGTTTCCTGCAAACCAAAAGCCACTCTCGAAATCCCGTCGACACAGAAAAAATAAGGTGAAAAAAACAATTAAAAAGAAAAAGAAATTAAACGAAATTAATTCTTTTTCTTTAATCAAAGTTTCCCACTTGCACAAAATTCAGAAGAGGCGCCTACGCGACGCAGCAGCCGCGGACTCCCCCCGAGATGCAAGTCCGCATATTCGTCAGTTTTCAGTTATCTTAAATTCATTTATTTTGTTTGTTTTATTTTATTTATTTTATTTATTTACTCTATTTGTTTATTTTGTTTTTTATTTTTTTGTTTTTATTTTCAAAAAGGATGGGGTAGACGAAGAGGCCCGCGAGCAGGCGGCGACAGAGGAGAGCCAGCAGGTGAACTCTGACTTAATTCAATTACTTTTTATTTTTTATTTTTTATTTATTTTATTTCTTTTTTAATTTTATTTTATTTCCTTTTATTTTATTTTTATTTTTTATTTCTTTTTACACTCTTCAGGCTCTAGCCGCTCGAATTCGCGACAGCGTGGAGGTGAAATAAAGGATAATAATAAATCAAATAAAACAAAAAAAGAAACTAAAAAATAAAATAATAAAATAAAATTAAAAAGATAAAATGAAAAATAAATTTAAAATGAAATAAATGAATTTTTGAAATGCATTTTTCTCTTCAGGAAGAAATCGAAGAAATGGAAAAGGAGGGCCCCACAGCTGTCCGTGCGTTTGTCTTTGCTAAACATAACAAATTAAATTAAATTAAA